TTGTATATATATATATATATATATATATATATATATATATATATATATATACATTGAGGTTTTCAGTATTAAATAGGCTGGGAAGAGATTTTTATTGGGAGGAAAACTAGTTTGAAGTGTGTATGGTGTATATATATACAGTAAAACCTGAGAAAACCGGATCACTGTCCATTCCAGACGATATTCTCTGTCCCTTCTCATTTCAATAGGCGGCCTGTGTTAAAAGCCCACCCTCTCCAAACTGGATCACTGTCCAAACGGGACATTTTTTAGTCCCATGGGTGTTCGGTTTTCTCAGGTTTTACTGTATATTTTTTTCTTTTCTTTTTACTAGACTATATGTTTGTATGTTTAAAGTTTTAATGGTAATCAACAAATTTATTGTAAAATCGATCTTTGTATTAGCTCAAAGTATGCTAACGTCGACATCCATTCTCAGGCGTTGGCTTGGTGATGCGCAAGATGGGTAATGCTGCAACCCCCACCGTCGAGATCACCAAGGACGGCGATACCTACACAATGAAAACGACCACCACTTTTAAGACCACAGAGATCAAGTTCAAGTTGGGGGAGGAATTTGAAGAGACCACAGCTGACGGCCGCGTTGTAAAGGTGAGGTGCAGTTGCTTTTTTTCTGTTTTAGTTATAGCTGTTAGTAGAGTTGCATTTATTTAAATGTATCAAATATATTTTTATTTCTGATTCACCATCAACAACCTGAAATCTTAGTTGATATTTACATTATTTTTAAACTGCAATAGAACATAAATTTGTCTGTTATGCCCGTGATTCTATATATTGTATGTAGTTTATGATCTTCAGATGCCTATGTATGTATTTATTCAAATGTACTTTTCAGTCAACCATTACTTTGGATGGCAACAAACTAATCCACAAGCAAGTTGGAGACAAGGAGAAGAAAGAGAAGGATTCTGAACTTCTCCGTGAATTCTCTGATGACAAGATGCTAATGGTAAGGAAATTTTTTATATGGTCGGAATTAATCATGGATTATATTTTGAAGGAAGTCTTTTAATAAACATGGATGCAATAAAAAAAATAATAATAATTGTAATCTATAAATTATCTTTATTTTCAGGAGTGCAAGGTTGATGACGTTGTTTGCAAGCGAGTTTACTCTCGTTTAGAATAACTCCAGCAAGTTATCTGCACCCAAGTATGGAAAGTGGTTACTTGAAATCTTAAGGACCACATTGTCATTGAAGATAAAATTATAATTTCTATCCAGGAACACTTTCTTTGTCAAAATAAATTTAATTGTAAACTTTCCAAAAGATTAAAAGGTTATTTTGCATTTTTTACATTCATCATAAGCAGATATATAATTTTATGGAAAGGCTGGTTCCCTAAGCAAGTAATCAAGTAATCCTATTCACATCCCATTTGGTTTGCTCAAACTGTCTTAAGGCTTCATTTTAGTAAGGAAATTCACTGTTCTCTTCAAATTGTGAAAAAAAGCTTCAGTTGATAATGTTTTGTGGTTATGCTTTAACCAAAGAAGAAAAAAAACCTAAGTACAGTTTATGGTAAGAGTTACCAAGATTTTTTTTCCATTTAAACAAGTTTACTTGGATGAATGGCAAAATGCAAGCAAGAGATTAACATTTATATCTCTTAGTCATTTTGTAAACTTTATATATTAAATTGAAACAAATTTATTTGGTGTTTCGTTTATATTTACCCATCCAGTACAAAATGATTACATGAAAAACATTTACAAAAAGGGTACCTCGAAAGAGGTGCTTTATCAGTCCTATGTTTCCAATCACCTACAATTTCATAACCAAATTCCTTAGTTAATGGTTTCCTTGATGAAAGTACTGCAAAATTGTTTATCTACAGTACTGTAAAGGTAAAAATAAGAGACTATGAAGCTAGTATAATAGTTTTCTTTATAATTAAATGATTACCTGACTTCTCAATGGAGAAAATATTTACCACAGAGGCATCTTTTTCAAAATAACCAAGCAAATTTAATTGTTTTAACTTACTAAAAAGTTTTTTACACAAAGTCGATCTAGCCTCACCTTTAAACTAAGGTTAAAGAATATCAACCAAATAAACAGTTCAGTAGGGTATAGACTAAAACTAACTATACCTTTACAGAAGTAGTGTCTGAGAATACCAGGCCCAATCAAGAACTAGACTGCAGTTCAGAGGCAGTGTGAGATGTGCAATATTTCTCATTCCTTTGTACCCTGGTACCAAGGTAAATGCTGTGTAATGATCTATTTCCCTGTTCTCCATTATTATTCACTTTATGGAGCATCACTTTCTTTATATGATACCATATCAAATTATGAGAAACTGGTATACCAGCAGAGAATCAATAGGGCATGTTCAGGATTTGACCTATGGTGCATTCAAATTACCCTTTTGGATCCCAGTTTGGCACAAAATATTATATAAAAAAAAGTAAGTTATTGTATCAAATATGAAATTTATCAAGTTTAGGAAAGTGAATGAGAATAAACACCTTCACAGTGCAAGGTCTGGATTTGCCCAGTTTCAATTATATCAGGAGCACCATTTTGTAACAAGGATATAATTTGAACCTGTTATATCCAGCTGTGATTGCATTAATTCTCATTCAAACTTTTTCCATATCAAAATTAAAGTTAATCCATGGCTGTTGCTTGTCATATTTCACTAATAACTATTCTTTTCTGGAATATTAAGACTGCCACACATTTTGTAAACCAATTGTTCTTAGTACCACTGTAGGTAAGAAAAAATCTGTGATTAATAAAAATATACATAATGAAAACATTTACTGAAAGGCTCATCTGAGCCATAGTCATACAATTACACAACAAAGAAACAAAATGTGTATCACAGAAAAGCAAAACATCTGTTAAACAAAAAATACTCTTACTAGAACTTTGACTAGAACACAGAAAGAAATTTTAACTTTTATTTACATTGGATAATGAAAAGTAACCCTAACAAAATTATGGTAAACTTATTGTGCAACTTCTAATACTAATACCAATCAACACAAAGCAAAAATCCGTTAAATACATATCACAGACAGTAATCACTTGCTGTAGCTGATGAATATCAAGAACGATATGCACAAGGAAAATTAAAGTAGTTCCAAATCTACCTTTGATGTTCCGAAGTTATGTGTCTTGCTAATGCACAACACATAATTGCAAATAGCACCAATTCTACCAATACTACCATCAGACACCTTATCTGTTCCCATTAGAAGTAGCAGTGTAATAAAATAATTTACATTTGTACCTATAAAACTAAGCAAATATGTATGGATTAATTCTGAATACTCACCAGTTTCATATGCAAAGAAATCAAACTGACTCCAGACATCCTGCACTGGGAAATTTCATCTTATGGTTAAAATAATGGAATTTTTATGAACTGACATAGGAGGAGTGCAAATTTGAACTTGACTGAGGTATTCCATTTTGACTATTTTTATAATTATCATCACCTTGTACAATATAAATTGGGGTATATTTTTACCCTAAATTGATTACAATTGGTGAGTATAATTTCCATACATAACTGTTTAATACATTAAAGAATCATGGATACAAAAAAAGAAACACAACTGGAATATTTAAATTTGGATGTAAATATTTACATTCTCTCCACAATACTTTGACTTCTACAATAGTCATATTTAGCACCAAAAAGTCCCAGCAGTAAAGCAGCCAGAGGACAAATGTTTGGTTAAAAAACAGAAACGGAATCAAATGCTTTAAAGCAGATCACAACTTTCTCATACTTCAAACACATGCTCCACACCCAATAACTTAAGACTGATCCATTATATATTATACCTTAACTATAATCAGATATCATAGAAATGGGTAGTTCCTTTTTTAACACATCAAAATTAGCAAAGCAATATTGCAAAATTTAGCTACCAAAATTTCTGGCAGCAACAAGAATATCACAGAAAGGAGGAAACTATATCCAACAGTTATGTGCCTTCCACCTAAAAATAATAGATTCCTTTTTTGAAGTACAATAAACAACCCTAATCTCGAGTTAGCCATGATCCAGACACCATAAACATAAACAAAGTATATCAGTGACTTCAAGTGCATGAAATGGTGTAAGGAACATGCAATAAATCATTGGTTCATAAAGGCACATGTAAATCTTTTCTTTTTTCTTTTGAACGTTTTGTCCACTTCGGTCTGTAGTGGAAAGGTATCGAATGCTTTTTACCTATACTTCCCCTAATCTATGAGAAACAGGTGAACCTTGGACACTGGAGCATCGACTGCCATACCCTGAATCAGGAGTGCTGCAAACACTAGCTTTGTCTTCACTCTCGTACAACCTATTTAGGAAAAGAAGAAACGAAAATAAAAAATAAAAAAACCCGTCAAGTCTAAATAAAAAAAAAAATCAATATGGTAGAAATGTAGTAAACACCATGAACTGGCTTCTGACATATGAGAGTCATCAATGAAGTAGTCTAGCAACATCAGAATTTTGTTGTCTATGAACAATAAAGTTATCAAAAGAAAGTAAAAAAAAGTAATGATAAATTTTAGGCACATGCTATTAAGAAATGTATTAATTGTGTTACACTGGACCCCAACAGAACACTAAGAAGATGATGTCAATTATGGATAAGGAAAAATTTATATGAATGTATTTGAAATTGTTGGCAGCTACAATACAAAGATTTTACAGTGTGATTTGTTGTGAACAAAAACAATTCTAGCTTGAAGAAAGAGGTATTTTTCAAATTCTCAAACAGGTTTCTACATCTGAAGTAAATATGGAAAGTTCTAGATGGGGGAGAAAAACAAAAATAATTAAATAAATAAATAAATAGGGGATATACAAGATTAGTTTTGTTTGGAACGTGTTTATAAGACTCAAAGGTACTGTGGACAATCTGTGCTGCAAAGGATCATCCAAATTTATAGAAAAAGGAAGAACAAAGATAATTACAAAATAAAAGAAAGATCTTTACCATATGAAATGAAAACCAGAGTATCACAGTTATAGGGAGCCAGTAATCCATGTGTTATTACATTATATATATATATTATAAACAAAACTTATCCAAATTTATCTTCTAGCTCCAACATTGGACACTATTGGTGTCAAATAAGTTGGATGATAGAAATGTAAATTTAAGACGAACTAACAAAACACTTTCAGGACCAACTGACCTAAACAAGAGATCCATAAGCTGTGAGAGGGACTGTAGGTGGTAACCAGTTGTTGCTTGGAGAGATACTGGCCATGTTGGTAGCAAATGGCAGCACAAGCGACCGCATGCAACACAAGCAGCTGCCACCTGCGAGCAACGCCACTGAAGGAAAACCTGGTCTGAAAAATATTGTAAAAATAGACATAACAACATGTTCTTCCTTACAAACTGGTTAATTCCTGTTAAACAAATCATTCATTCAACATTTTTACAAAATTGAGACTATTCTTTCAAGTAATGGTTCTAACTGTTTTGCTATAGAAAAAACATGGAGACAGAATTATCTAGATACAAATGTACATTTTAGATTCTCAATACCACAGATACTAAAGTAGAATAACTTGAGCTGAAACATATGCTTTAACCTGTTGAATACAATGATGCCTGGTAAAAAAAAAAAACTATACACAATCCAGACTTATCATGGAAAACCAGATTTTTGTTTTTGTAATTATGTCAGTCAGGTAGATGACCGATTGGCCCAAGGAATTTTGGGTGACCTCCCACCTTCAAGCTAGAGCTTAAGGCTTGTCCACACAAGTAGGCATGATCACTGGGCACATGGGTGGCCACAAGTAGAGATGATGTCATGGGTGGACAAACTACTCAATTAACAAATAGTTTCCTCATTGTTTTCTCGCCTGTGAAGACCCATTTACAGTTGCCCATTGATGTGTCTGCTGATCATGCTGATTGTTTGAACCGGTCTTTACAGGGGGTGTTGGTTTAGGAGAGACATATTTATCTTTATAAATACTGTCTCTTTCCTTAGGGATTTGGGCCATAAAAACCTTCTGGCATTGTTGTGAACCTTTGTCCTTTTTTTGGGTACTTGTAGCATACAGATTAAAGCACACCAAAATAGTATTTCTTGCCAACATGTACTTTGCCATGCTTTTGGGGTACAGCTTTCATCATATATATATATATAAGACTATTTTGCTACACTAATCTTCTCTGTTCTATATATATGCAGTGTTCTTTTCTCATATCCATAAGAAGAACTTGAACTGCTGAAGCATTATTTGACTAGCTAGAATTGATAATCAGGAAATAATTAAGCCAAACATATATATACTTTCTGCATTCATGAAACCAAATAAATGCAGTAGTAATTTAACTACAGCTATTTACCTTGCAGGGATATATCCAGAAAATGAGCAGTTGCCTTCCAAAGTGACTGTCTTGCCAGAGCAGGTTCAGCAAGTGTGGCTCCTTCCATTGTATCACCAGCAGTCACTCCACGCATTAAATAAAATTCAGCAAAGTGGGCAACCGTAACTGTTCCTGGATAAGATTTTGTATACAATATTATTTCAATACATACCACTTAAAAGAAACCTCTCAGTATTCTATCTTTCCATCAAATACTTAGCATGAAAATTAAATTGAAATGGTCATAATAAAACCAAATTCATATATATATACATTGTTGCAACCAAAAAAAAAGGAATAATAAAATGTTTTCAACAGAATAAAGGCTATTGCATACAATGCTTTGTTTAACATCTCATGTGCTAAGAAATCTAAAATAGATTATAATGGTGAATGAAAGCAAATAAAGGTAAAACGTTTCTCAAGTGTGATGGTAATAAAAAGTAGACATACCTATGCTCCAGTTAAAAAATGTCAACATAAATGCTTCCATTGAGTTAAAGATAGCTATGCTATATCTGCTGTTGGCAAATGCATTCAACTCTGGAATTCTTGGCACATTCATATCCTTCTCTTCAAATTTTGCTGAAAAAAATCACAAATAAGGAATGACAATACTTTAATATACCTAACTGGTATTTTTCTACTTTCCACATCCAACCATTTCTGGAATTTAAAAAAATAATAATAATAAAGAAAAATACCTGCCAACAGTATAGCAGTGAGGGCAGTAAGACGTAACTGGTTGTCAGATATGTGATGTGCATCCATAAATCTATCAAGAAGGTATACTGACAGATGAGTTGTTGCTACACTTAATTTCAAGCGCTCACTGACTATACGTAAAAATTCTACCAGAGCTCCTCGCATTGCCAGCTGGAATAAAAAATACCTTTAAATAAGGTAAGTGACAGGGATCATATTATAATGGCATCTGGCTGGTTTAGTCAAATAATTTGTTTTTCAGGCATTCTAACCATACAAATTTTGATTTTTTGAATACTCTCCTAAACTCAGTAACTACATTGAGAAAATAGGGAAGGAGGAAGGAGAAAGGAAGAGAAGAAGAGAAGGTGAAAGGAATTGAGAGAGGGAAAGGGATAAGAATGGAGGGAGGAAGAAAAGAGGAAAGGAATGAAGGGAGGGAAAGGGACAAGAATGAAAGGAGGGAATGGGAAAGAAAGGAAGGGAGTGAGGGAATGGGAAAGAAAGGAAGGGAGGGAGGGAATGGGAAAAGGAAGGAAAGGACACAAGGGGAATTAAAAACACCAGCAAGGAGGAAGAAGGGAAGGGCAGAGGGTGGAAGAAGGGAGTCAGGTAGGGGAAGATGGGTATGGAGAGTGGGAACAGGGAGAAAAAGAAGAAAAGGACAAAAGCAGGAGGTAGGGAAGAAAACATGAAAAGAAAGACTGCAGGAAATAAGAGAAAGTGGGTGATAAGAGGACATGGGAGGTAAGTGGAAATGCAAAGCTAGGGGCACAAAGCAAAGATGGAAAAGAAAAGAAAGACCGGGGATCTTTACTACATGATAACAATAAAAGTTAAAAAACATTATGGATAACAAACCTGTGGAGAATTCCCATTGTAAGCCATATGTTGGAGTTCCTTGGTGTGCATCCATGCTAGCACATCTTCAGCATAATCTGTCATCCAAGTACTTCCCCGAGCCATTTTTTACACAGCTGGTAAAAAAGTTTATACTGTCTTGAAAAATGTTTTATTAAAGTAAAAACAATTATGATAATACTTTAAGCACTGTATATAACAAAAATTATATGTGTGGTTTTCTAACATACCAGTATAATTATTGCAATAAAATTGCCAACCTTTGGGGGTACAATACAACCATAACTCTTTAATTGGCACATTCTCTTATCTCCAGGCTTTTTTTTCATATGTATGTGTGTGTTTCCTCAGAGTGACCTATGAGACATTACTTTTTTATTATGATTGTTGCTAGGCTTGTTGCCTCTGGGTGTAATAAAATAAATAATAATCTGTGAATCAGGTATTTTTAAAGTTTATGGAGAAAACCAAAGTGAATGAAACAAAGATTTTAAAATCTTGGAAGCTTTGGGATGGAGCTAATGTACATAAATCTTTTCTTATGACTGAAATAGCACTTTATGTTCTATTAACTCTCCTTGTGGGTCTTTGGACTCCCTTAGCAGGATGCCAGCTGTTACTAGAGACAGGTGTTTCCCCAACTTGTAATTTTTGGAAAAAAAAAACACTCCAGATATATATGCAAACAGTGTGTAGGTCCTGCTGTGACTGTAGGTGAAATGCAGTTGTTTTTATTATATTCTTCAAAACATTATATTCATCATCCTAAAACTAATACTTTATTCTAAAACCCCATATTTGCAAAAAGGTTTGGAGTAACAGTAATGTACACATACATATGGACAAAAGACAAATATCCAAAACTCTGTAATAATCAAATAAATAAAAAAAATAGTTAAAGAAACATTTGCTACTTTTGTCTGAGTATGGGTGTAGTCCTATACTGTCCTTTTGGGGTTAAATTACATACAATTTATTCATATATATCAATCATAAACATTCCCAGCAAATTATAAAAACTGGTGTAAATTTTGTAAAAACATATCATTACATTTGTTTTTCATTTGCAATTTTTACATGGGTAACAATGATATCTGAAATCCAAAGAATACAGGAAATAGCTAATGATTACATAGCTAAAAGGAAGCAAGTACAGTAAATCATACTGATCAATCCTTGGTAATTTAAAAAAAGGATTTTATAACTTATTTCAGCAAACAGGTGTCAGAAGGCATGCCACAGCACACAAACAGGGAAAAGTTCTGGGATAATGGCTTCTATGAAAAGACACGTAGAATACAGCACTACTTGTTTTAAGCCGATTTATTTTATATGTTTACTTTTATGACCAACTATGGATCAGATCTGAGCCACAAGTGGTTATGTTCTTTACAAATTATGAATTTAAAATAACTTTCTTCAGGAGACATAAAAGGACTATGTATCTGACTAGAAACTCATACCATATCGCAGATTACTTGCGTTACCATTCTGATTCAATAAAAACTAAGTTTATACATTTCTATGAAAATAATCTAAGAGATTTTTGTGAAATGATCTGGGTTGATATTCACTTAATTAGTCGTAAAAGTATCAATCAACAATTACTTTATTCGCGATCATATGATGCAGTCGCCAGGTCGCGTTATCGTCGGCTGTAAACATGAACGCACGTGTTATTGTTTATTTCTACCAGCAATTAAAAGTACAAATGATTTCCATCATTATATCTTACTCGTATCCCTCGATGCAGCGTTTGAATAATACAAAGAATAATATACTAATACTGAAAAGTTATGACATGGAAGGTAAATATATGAAATAAAACATTAATCATCACTACTACCACTAACTACATAAAACCCTATCGCCAACACCTATAGCCTATCAAATCAAGTCACAACCTTCTAATCACAATATCTGTTGTCTGAATACACAATAACACTTCATTACCTAGGTGCACACGAAGGAAGATGTAGCAGCAATCTGCCTGCCGCTCTCTGCATCGTCTGACGGCGTCCGCATCGAAGTCGCCACCACGGAGAACGGCGCTGCGACTTCCCTGCGCCGCCTGCCAACTGCTGCTAATCCGCACTTCACCCACACAGTACCTCGAGTTCTTTCGTTTGTTATTTTTTCTGATAAAAAAGATAGGGTTATATAATTACGATATTTTATTGAAGTGTGAGATTATTATGAGGAAAAAGGAATGAACATTATATCGCAACGTTTGTAATTTTTCTGGTGACAAGGAATTTATAATTAATGCTTACTGTACACGCGCGTTCGCGTATACTTCGAGCACATTTCTTATATAAGACATAATATTCACTACATAATATAGGGATTAGATATTTACTTAGATTTCCTTCATATTAAAGACGATCATGAGATGTAGATAAAGAGATGCTATCACGCATTAGATAAGAAAGTGAAGATTATAACATAACGGGATGCATAATACTGATTTCTGTGTTGTATGAATGTGAATAAGTACACTTTGAAGAAGAGAAATCTTCTACAGAAATGTATGCAAACATTAACGCACTTGTTAACCTGTTAAAATCTTCGAAATGCTATTATGAAACAGCGGTTATTGAGGTTGGAATAAATTTTTGTCTGATGTTATCTGCTTGATGGTCAACATTTACCACATGTATTTTCGCAATATCATTATTTTCTGGCCTGTATTGAGAATGTGTATTATGTTATACCAGAATCTTTGACCATTTATAGCTTTGTACTCATTAGGCATTTATTGTATCTACGAGACCTGTTCCACGAACGATATATCTGCAAAGATTTTTTGTAATAATGATAAATGATTGCTTGATTTTTTACGTTTAGGATTTGGAACGTATTTCCATAAGTGTCACTAAACTAATTAATTCGATGTGTATATTCAGAATAACTTCGATATGCATTAGAAGTTCCTATAGTGCTTCTCATTGAATGATGACGTTAATAATGGTAATAATGATTATGATGATAATTATAGTAATGATAGTGGTAATAATAATAGTACTGATAATAATGAACCGTATTTATAGAAACAACTGTAGAAAAGGTTTGAATGAGAATGAATAATTATATAATACAAATGATGTATTAAACCGGTTTCGAATAAAATTTCGTCAAAAATACACGTATTTAACGGGTTTAGAATATGCCTTCGTCAGAAATGCATGTATTTAATTGGTTTCTAATATATCTTCGTGAGAAATACTTGTATTTCTGACGATATTATTCGAAACAGGTTACATACATATCTTGAATTGTGAAGATATTCATTCTGATTCATACCATTTCTACTGAGGGTAATAATAATGATAATGATAATAATAACAATAAGAGTAGTAAAATAATGATAATAATAACAATAATGATAATGATGATAACAAAAGTGATAATAATAACAATAATAATAATAATGATATTAATTATTATTATTATTATTATTATTATTATTATTATTATTATTATCATTATTATTATTATATTAGTGATATTAACAATGATAATAATAATGATGATAATAATGATGTGATGATAATCACATTTATCATTATCATTATTACTATTACTATCACAATAATATCACGTTATCATTATTACTCATGATGTTGAGGAGAAAAAGGAGAACGGACCGAAAAGATCTAGCAGGGTACAGGACACTGATTACATAAATATAATTTCCCCGAAGGTGAAAGCCATGCCTCAGTATCACGACTACCATATTTGATGGAGGCATAATATCACAGCATCACGACTACCATATTCGATCGCACTTTCTAGTCCATTGCGCATTAGCTTGGGAAAAAAACGCTATTGGAAACTGTTCGGGATAATTTTACTATAAAAGGATTTTAGCTGCAACATTAAATGAAACGTACTGTAGTAAAGAGAGACATATCTGAATAATACAAATATGTTTATCATTGTTAGTATTCTTAGTTTCCTTATTATATTTTTTTTGTATATAATCATTACTATTAACAACTATTATTATTGCTATCCTTATTATTATCATTATCATTATCATCACCATTGTCATCATCATTATTATCATCATTACCATCATCCTCGACAACATCATCATCATTATTATTATTATTATTATTATTATTATTATTATTATTGTTATTGTTATGATTATTGTTATCATTATTATTTATTATTATTATTATTATTATTATCATTATTATTGTTATCTCCGTTACAGTTTATATTATTACTTATTGATACCATTATTGCCGTTATTATGACCGTCATTATTACCATTGTTATCTTTAATATTATCATTATTACCAAAATTGTCATTAATATCATCATCCTTGTTACTGTTATTGTTATTTTTATTATTATAATTATCATTACCTTTATTTCCATTATTATCATGACTGTTATCACTATCATCATCATAATCGTTATTATTACTATCATCATTATCAACACCATTGTCATTATTATTAGTAGTAGTAGTGTTATCATCATCATTATCATTATTGTTATCATTACTACTATCACGATAATCATCTTCATAACTATAATTAAT